ATTTTAATATTGCTATTTGCCTCCGGCCTGGTGCTGGGGCAGGGTGGGGATGCAACATGAGGTCTCCTGGCCTGATGCTGGGGCAGGGGGCGTGGCCTGAGGTCCCTCACCCCAGCCAGGCGCCATGCAGCCTCAGGTTCCTGCTGTTTGGTAGTGACGTTACGGGGTCCCGGCTAATTTGCATATTCCTCTATTATTATATAGGATTCTATCTTATGCTGGAAAGTGATGAGTAAAAGCTAGAGCAAGGTAGGTAGGTTCAGCGTTGCCTGATGGATTGCAATTTTGATTAGGGTGGTCACAGGGCAGGTTTCATTAAGGAGGTTAATTCTGAGCCAAGACTTGAAGAAGTTGAAATGGACCATGTGAATTATCAGTGAAAGACTGTTTCAGTAAGAGAGAACAGTTGAAGCAAAGGCCCAAAGTGGAGTGTTCAAGGAACAGAAAGGAGGCCATGAAGCTGGCATGGAGTTGACGTGTCAATGACATCAGAGAGGTAATGGAGGGATCCCAGGGCTTTTGCAAGACTTTGTCTTTTTCTCTGAGTGATGATCTAATATCATATCAGCATCTTGCTGCCATGTTGAGAATAGACTGTTAGGAGGCGGGAGCAGAGGCAGGAGACCTGGTTAGTAACCTACTTCCTCAATCCAGACAAAAAGTAACATGGCACAGACTATTAGTTTCCACTTATTTCTGAGGCTAATGGCATTTTACAGAGAATAAATGTTATTTGACCACTCTGCTTTTTTTCTTCCTCCTACCCATGTTTCAAGTAAGCAAATATATTATGTTCTCAATCTTACAATATGTTGTCACTCATATTTCAAATGTAAAAATCCAATGTCTTTACATTTCAATAGAATTGTTTTTCTTTACTACTTAAAAAAATCCTCTTACAAGGTTATGGGGCATCCACTCAATGGAATTAGGCAATTACTATGATTTATGGCTGTGAAGATTATATGGCAACATGAAGTACCCTTAAGATGGAATATTCAGTGAAAAAAAAAAAACCCACAAGAGGCAAAGTTGTGTATTTGTATAGTACGATTTAAAAAAAGATCCATCTCCTCCTAACTTACTCTTGGACCTCATTTCCTGTAACTCTCCCCTTTTCTGGATGTTCTATAACCATTCTGGCCTTGGTGATGCTTAAGCCTTACAAGCATGCTGTCATTTCAGAGGTTGTTCTCTCTGCCTGCAATGCTCTTGGGCCCCCAGGGACCTCCCCAGCCTCTACCAGGGAGGCCTTCTTCGGCCTTGACAGTGAAATAGCAAACCCTCCCCTTGGCACTTCCTATCCTCTTACTTGGGTCTGTGCTTTCCATTGTACTTATTTTATTTGTATATTTATTATCTCTCTCCCTCCAACTCAAACGTAAATTTCACAAGGTCAACAGTTTGGTCTATTTTCTTCAGGTTTTGGTTTTGAACAGTACCTGACACAGAGTATGTACACACAAGAAATCTTGTTGAATTAAATACTCTTACAAAACCTCAAGTATTTTTGTTGCTAACTTGATTATTGATGGTAATTCACATTAAAGGCCCTCTAGGACAGTGAAGGGATTACATGGAAGGTTATGGAAGAAGAGTGCTTAGGACTACTTAAAGCACATCATTGAAGGAGTTTTGAGTTGAGTTGAATTGAGTTGAGTTGAGTTGACATGGCCTCTGTGTGTTGCTGTGTGAGAACCATATGGCAGACTGCTAAGTCTTGGGTAAGCAGCAATCTAAAGGCTGAGGGGTAACTAGAGACAAGGAAACATTTCTCCTACTGAAATGTGGACTCTGGAATCTGGAGTTGATGAGAAATGCCACTGCCAAGGCAACTTCTAACCCTCTAAGGAGGTGATGAGATAGATGGTATCAGAGAAGAGCAGAGCTCCCTGACCCATCCTAGGGACAACCCCACCCCCACCCCCAATGGCTTCCTAGGTCTGGGTACAGTGGGCAAAATCTGGACTGAAGAATGAGAGGACATCCAGACACCTGTCAAGGGAATAAATCAGTGCAGACCATCTGTCCTTATATTGAATTTGCAAATTCTAATGCCCATAGCTTACAGAGCTCCGGCTTGGGAATTTTAGGCTGAACTTACAGTCACCTATAATACATAGCACAACAGTCCTGGGTAGTGCTAAACTATTCAAATATTGCCATGCAAGTGGTAAGTAGCTGCTGCCTGAGCCCATCCCCCAGCATCCCATCTCCTCAGGATCCAAAGCTCAAGAAGGAAGTGTGGGGCCTCTGGGGTCCTGCTCTGGCACTACAGCTGGAATCTGTTGTGATTGGCTGGGGCCTGGTGTATAGCTTGCTAAATATTTTATCACACTTGGTTTGAGAAGGTACGCCCCAAAGACCTGAAGATTACTGAGTAGGTAGCAAGAGTAGTGTAATGCTTTCGAAGTGGGGTCCAAGGTAGAGGGTTCCAAGAGCCTGGAGTCATGCAAGTTCAGAAACCTAACTTCACTGACCTCTAGTCAGTCAGGAGAACTTTATCAGTAACACTTATCAGGGTCTGTGCATTACTTCCAGGAAACATCAGAATTCACAGAGGTATAGTCCAGGGGTCGCACCTTATCTGGACCACAGATCCCCTTGAGAGGCCAGTGAAATTCAGTTTTAGATCCTTCAAATTTGTACAGTTATTGAAACTAGTCTTAAATCTTTGAGATTGGGAAGTGTAGTAGGATCCAAAATAATGATATCATTGCAAAGTAATAGTTGGTGTTCAGAAAAATCGAGCTAGGGGAAGGAATGGGAGATATTTGAACCTTTTAGAATGGCCAGGGAAAGCTTCTACAGAAAATCATAGGGGTAATGAGATTCTGCAGTTAAATTATAAGCTCTCCCAGGCCTAGAAAAGGGAAGAAAGTTATATCCCCTTCCTCCGTGTATGAAACCCAGTCTCCCTCCTCATCTACCCCCGCAGAGGTGTGGGGCTTGAGGACATTGCAGTTAAGGAAGCCATAGGCATTGAGATGTGGTTATAGACAGTTTCCTATTCTACCCTTCGATCAGCCCCAAATATAAACATTTATGATTCGGAAACTGGTCCCAATATTAAACCCCGTAGTCACTCTGGCATGGAGTACAAGATGGCCAGTGACAGCTCAGTTGCACGTCTTACCCCTGAGGATGGAAAGAACTAGAACACTGCAAGATGGGATGCCCGTCTCTCCTCCTGACCTTTGAAACAGTGCACCCGGGTTGCAAGTGCCGCCACTTACCCTGCTGTCCTGTGGCAGTTACACGCACATGCCTGCCGCTCAGAGATCTGGAGTGTGCGTTGACATCTGTGTGTGTGAAGATAAACGGGGCTTGTTTTGATGTGGGATATGATACAGGAGCCCTGCTGGCATGCTGCCAGAAAACTCATGTTAAAACGAACCACCCGCAGGATGCGGTCCGGCCCCCGGATCACTCACTAGCGGACCTGGTCAGGGTGTAATCTATTTTCAGTCTCTGGTCACCTTTTTAATGTAGGAGCAGCAGCTTCAGCTGAAATGGAGCAATGAAGCAAAATCAACGATTACTGAACAAATGGACAATTTTGAGGAAAGGTGTTTTTTTTCTTTAAAAGTCTGTTCTTCTTAAGGTAATTTTTTAAAAATGCTGTAAAATTTTGCATTTTAGGAGAGGAAAAAAATCAAAAGATGTTTATTAACCTTGGGAGCCTCAAGGAAGTAAAAGGTGAAGATTCTGTAGCTAACCTATTGGAGTAAATGCAGAAAAATTTAACTCAGAACCTAAGGGTAGTTCAATGTACCCAATATCTAGACACAGCCCTCTAAGCACAGTGCCAGGGCACCTGAATCATCACATGGGGAATGAGTGCACTGAGCAAGCCAGGGAGACACCACCAGTCCCACTGCCTCAGTGGTAAAAGCCCCAATAATTGGGGTTGGAAAGTAAGATGAACTTGCTTTGTCTTTCCAGTCAATGTCACCATGGTTTTTCGGACAAAGGCATTTGTCATTTTTCATTTGCCTAATGATGTTATGCATCAAGCTTTTACTAGAGCCACTTGATGATCGTTTTGACTGAGCCATCAAGGTAGATTTGTTAGGGACTTTGGTGATCTTAATAATTCATTGCATGGGTGAAAGACTTGCAAATTGTTGCCTGCCTCCTGACTATGAACTCCCCGGGGAAGAGCTGGGCTGGGGCTGGTTAGCCTTTCAGCATCGCTGCTCATGCCCCAGTCTAGAGAGACACTGATTCAAAAGTCAGATGGTCTCCTTTTTTTTTTTTTTTTTTTTTTTTACAAGAGTCTGACTGCCTGGGTTCAAGTCCTGCCTCTAAGACTTTGTAGCTTTGTGACCTCTGGCAAGCTATTGAACGGCGGTGACCCATATGTGTGATGGGGATGATAATAAAGTTATTACGGGGAGCACTTTAGGTGACATGCAAAGCACTTAGAGCAATGCCTGTTTGTAGGAAAGCACCTAATACATTTTGATTCCTTTTATAATGAAGCACTCTCCTTATTTTTCAAAGCCATTTTAGCCAGATCAAATCTGTACAGAAAAAGACGATTGACTCTAAAGTTTATATAAACTCGCTTATATCTATTAATTTAACTTGAAGATTTTGGATATTTGGTCTTTCTTCGAAAATATGTACGTGAAGATGGAAGCCCCATTACTTGAATTAATAGATGCCACCATTGATGTGTATCGTGTTGATTCTTAATATTTGTTACATGCATGT